TATATTCCGCTACAGACGACTGCCGAATGCTTCGATTTTCAAGCCCAGTGGAAGGTGCAGCTCTGCAAAAGCACGTCATTAAAAGGATAGCGCTAGATTCGGAGCATTCTTGTCGAGTTCATTGTTATTTAGAGAACACATGCGTCTCATACAACTTTGGAAAACGTGCTTCGGGTGAAGACGTCTGTGAATTAAATAACGCTACACATACTGAACACCCTTCTGACCTTAAAACGACATCGAATTTCATCTACCGTGGATCTGAGGTTGAGTGCTATTTTTTTTTTAACACTGTTCGAATCCCTGGCTTTATCGTCAAAGTTGCTTAAGTTGTGTAAGATTTTTGTTGTCTTTACATCTTTTTCGCAGTTAATTCAAACACGTGGTCTTTCATATAATCACTTGCTTGCTTAACTTTTTTATACTTACTATTTACTAGAACTTCTGCAGTTCCATGCCCTGTAGGAATCGTGGTACATGTCTGTCAGGATTTTCACCCCACGGTTACCGCTGCCTTTGCAACGATGGATTCACTGGGCTATGGTGTGAGATAGGTAACTAATAAACAGATTAATAATAGGGGAAAACAACGACTTTTCGATTAAGATACAGCACGACACAGCGCAAAGAAGCAAACATGTTTGAATTGTCATTCAATGAGCCATCTTCGGTGCGAGTTTAAAATAAATTATATGGCTGACATTTGGTACAAATATTGGGGAATTACATTGAATAATAAATATTACTCAATAAGAAGAGGTCATACACTTCTCATTCTTTGCTTTCTTAGATATAAACGAGTGTGCGAGTAACCCTTGTCGCAATGGAGGAAAGTGCAGTGACCTCGCCAACGGATTCAAGTGTGATTGTCCAACTGGATTTGGTGGGTTTCAATGTGAAACAGGTTGGTAATTTGGCGCGGAACACTTAAGTTGGTGTCATTGGGCGATGCAATGGTACTTTTTACTTAGGTTTTGAAACGATCTAATGGTCTATTCTATTTTTGCCCCAAACCCTGCACTCCTCTGTAGACCAAGGAGTGTTTACGCAAACAAAAAGACTATATTGGGTGAACAGTAGTAAAGCTCTGCGCGTGCGTTACACCTGTTGCGTTACAAGTCGTTTTCTGCAAAACAAACAACGCGAAATCACTGAATCGGCAAAGTTTGGAGTTGACTACACCAAATAATTTTTTTTAAGTTGTATGAAAGTTTGCAAGCACAGACACTTTATTAATAAAGCTGGGGACATTGGGTCGAGTGGTTCGGATTTAAGTTCTTGCTGTGGTTATTCGGTTTATAGTGCATCGCTCCGCTAAGATATCTTTAGAGTGGGATCGGTACTTCCCATGGACGGCCGTACCATCTAGAGGAGAATAGAAATACATCTAGTGGCTTGCTGCTACGGCGGAAAGCGGAGACTATTGCACTATCAGGCTAGAACCCAGATTTGACCCGATGCAAATCCTTACGTATACCTTGCTCAACGCCGTATCAATTCAGGTATATAAGACAGCTCTAACACTGAAAAACAATATTATTAAAGGATCTGAATTATGACAAGATTCAACAGTATCCGTGTTTTTTGTCTTGTGAAGTATTACATTGGGAGGCAAGCGTAAGCTATTGCCATGCAATGCTATGCCTTTCTATATTTACTTATCTTTTAAACGTCAATCTTCTTAGTTTCTTCTTCTTTTTTTCAGGCTTATTCTTAGTTATACCCGAATGTTCTCAGTACAAGTTTCTCAGCGATTACGATCGACACCGGAATTATTACAACATCTATGGCAGGAAATGTGACAACGATCTAACAGAAGACTGGTACCGTTTCTATGGCCAGGCTGGAACTGTGATGGCTTCCAGCTGTGTCCCCACTCACAAATGCCATACAGACTTAACGGGATGGATGAAAGGAAGTCTTCCGACAGTTGACGAGGGCGTCGTTTTGAGAAAAGTTTGTTTTCATGGATTTGGCATTTGCTGTCATAGAGACGTTGAGATAAATGTAAGAAATTGTGGGCCCTTTTACGTATACAGGCTGAAGAAGCTAACTTTTTGTAACTCACGATACTGTGGAAGTAATTAGATTTCTTGGAGCTGAGGATCAATCACGGTTCAGCTTCGAAGTCTAAACTTGATAACTGATACGATTTTCCTCTAACGCGTACATTGTTAGAGAGACTCGGGAGGCCATTGTTGTTACTAGCCAACTTTGTATAGGATTGACGGTAAAACATTCCATAAACGTAAGCCAAAAAACTGACTAAATAACGTTATTCAAGATGCAGTTTTAATCTCGGATGCAATGAAGACTTGCATTTTGTGAAAACGGGCTTAACATGCTATTCCTAAGACTGTATCGGCATCTATTTCAAGCAAGACAGGCTGAAGGTTAAAAGCTAATCCCTCTTTAAGGAATTTCGCCAATTAATGTGAACCCTCTGGAGGTATTTTTAAACAGGGTACCCAGTTCTTAAGTGGATAATGTTGCCACGCTGTGTGAAATACGTGAAAATCCGTTTTTGTTGTCTACATAAGCAAAATGCGCGTAACACATATGGCTATGTTTAAGTCCTGCTGGGATTTGTTAAACTGGGCTTGATCTAAAAATAGCTTGATGGGAACTAAGTCCTATACGAGGGAATAACTCTCTTAGCCTTTATTGTCTCTTGATTTGAACCCATTGTTAAAATAAGTTAATTAAGTTTGTAGATGCTTTAATCGAACTGAAATGCAAGCAGTAATTCAAGCAGTAATTCCAGCATTACATACCTTCTGGAAGAATAATCAAAGTCAAATTAGTGAAAATATCAATTCTTCTTAAAAATAGCCAATCACATCATGTTCTCTCCAAGGCCGTGTCGGCTGAGAGTAACAGGAGACTCCAGGGGACAAGATTGGATTCATGAAAAAAAGAACTCAACATCCTTAATGTCCCGTCCACACTACGAGCGAAAAATTTTGAAACGCGGTTTCATTCTGAAAACGCACCAAATGTTTTCTTCCAACACTACACTGGAGAAAAATAATGTCATCGTTTTCAAAAGTCTTCGCTTTCAAAATGTTTTCCGTCCACACCAAAACGCAAAGTCGGCGTTTTCAAAAATTCCTCCCGTTTAAGGAGCGTTTTCCAAAAGCTTTTTCAGTCGCGTGACGGATTAATGTGGACCGTAGGCCCAATCGTAAAGAGAAAGTCGCGCTTTTATATTTCTCCGGGGCAGTGTGAACGGGACGTAAATTTTAGTTCTACGGGAGCCAGATTCATCAATTATTCGAGGACTTTTCACGAAATTTAGGTGAATCATCTATTATACAATCGATAATGATTCACAGATACGTGGGGAAAAATAAAATATTGACAAAACATACAAGGAGCTTGTCGTCACAGGTTTGTTTTATTAGTTATCGGTTGATAAATATGGCCGTGGTAATGATTGTTGGTCCGCTATAAACTCAGATATTTATATTACTCGAGGGAACCCTACATGTATGACTACAACTACAGAAGACCTTCGCTCTTACCGCAACAGTTAAGGTGGCTCAAAACAGTGATGTTTCCTTGGGACGCCTGGGCTCCAGCAAGCATTTCAGTGGGAGGCATCACGCGATCATTGGAGGCCAAGGTACGCGAGATCAAAGCAAAACAAACATATTGGCGTGAGGCCGACTTCGTAAAACTTCGTTTCCGCCAGGTTTAGTAGGCTGTTTGCGTTATCAGTTATTTTTAACTTCGAAAACATCTACCCTTCAGGCAATTTCAAATGAAAACATCGTTTTAAACCGCTGCGCTGGAACGCAAACGAAAATTCTGATGTTAATGTTGCGATCGATCGCGCCGGCTATCAGTCTAAAACACAGCAGGGTAAAAAAAAAAAAAAAAAACTACTCTTCAGGTTTTCTTCGTTCTTTCTACTTGGCTAGTCTCACCTCCGGGTATTTATGGTTCTCTTCTTTTACCACTTTTTAACACTATTCACGGACTATTCGCGTTTATTGGCGTCAAATTGTGGGCTTTACTGATCAGCGGATTGCCTTCACGCGTGCGCAAGGAGCGATCTTGCAAAGTCGAGATTTTAATTTGCACGTAGAACGCGCGCTAAAATATCTTATCCACGAAACTAATATCTCAAAAACTGATCCGGTGACCCTACTTTTTTAATTAAAAAAATATTCAACAGCAAAAGCGGAATGCATGTGGGAAATTGTAAAACAACAACAACAACAACAACAACAACAACAACAACAACAACAACAACAACAAAACACTTTGAAGTAGAATTTCTCCAACTTGGAAATTTTCATATTTCTTAATTTAAGAAAAACCACCCCACATATTCCTTTTTTGTAATTTTGTCTATTTCTTCCGCTGTATGTAATAAAGAAGATTTGTGTAAAAAAAATGGGTTCCCAGGCTTAGTTTTTAAGATAGATGCAATTGATGGTAAAAAGTGGGTCAAGTTTGTAGCTATGCAGCAGGACAGTGCAACCTTAATTTATGACTTGAACATAACAAAAGGCGCCGTGGAGAGTTACCTTAAAAAAATAGCACAGCCATTCAAAACAGTACAGTTCCAAGCCTGAAAAATCGTACCTAGTTCTATAAGTCTCAAAAAAAAAAAAAAAAAAAAACGACAACTGTTTTGAGCCACCTTACATAATCTCTTTGTCACTGTTTTTACAGTAGAAAAATAAACAAATCTCCTTTCCAAAGTAAACGGATATTTTGAGCTTTTAGAGCTTCCGACCACCGCAGCAGAAAACTCATATCTCTTAAGACTCTGTTCTGTAACAAGTTCGAACGTGTGTATCTTTAAAAACATCACCTGCATCACGTCCTATTGTCCTGTGGTAAACACGATACGGTTGCTGACGTGGATATCACCTTTAGCCAATCAGAATTCAGTTGTACTAGTACAAGAGCCTGGCCGTCCTTGGCAACTGCCCGTATTCAAGACAATGATACAGCAGAAAAGATGGGCAAGATAAATGTTGTGCCTTCGATGCCAGCTTTGCTGGTTTTGATGTTCGAAGTTGGAAATCTCTTTCTTCCAGTGAAAGGTAAGCCTGTAATACCCATTGTATGTGCTAGAGGTTCGGAAATTTTGAATGACAAGAAGTTTGTATAAATATATATTGTTAATATTTCCATTGCTTTCATTATTGCATAAATGTATAGATGCTCGGAATTTCCAACGTCCTCGTCTAAATATTATCAGGAATAGGCCCGTTTAACATGATACTTCCGTAGACTGCCTAAAAGAGAGACTAAAAGATTGCTTCAGTTCGTTACAGGGTAGGCATTTTTCAATTATGTTTGAGTTAGCCCAGTCTAAAGACCTAACATTCGTAC